TGAAATGAATTTACTAAATACTTCTTAAGCATACGGAAGAAAACCAATTACAGGACGAAATATTTGCGTGTATGAAGATAACAGCCTTGAGCCTATATTCACGAATTAATAGGGTTGCTCTTTGTATGTTAGTCTCCGGAATCGGACACTTTTCGGTTTTGACTTTCGCCCTCACGCGATGAGCGTATTATGTTATAAATATTTCACGCTTTCTCATTCTAGGGAATTGTATTTTTACGTGGTTTGAATGCATTGTAGATATACTTGAGTAGACTTTTATTATAACTCATCAGTAAGACTTATAATTATTCTGATTTATTTAAATTTCTAAAATTTTCAAATCTTTCAATGTTTCAATGATAGGTAGCCTTGTTTCGCTTTGAATGTACTTTTCAAAAAGGGAATGCATTATATTCCCATTTTCAGGGAGTCGAAAAATTCTTTTGAGGACGTTAATAGATCAGAAGGCTAATGCCTTTTAGGTCTTTTTTATGCCCATAAAAAGAATTAGAAAGTATTTTTTTTTGCTTTTTTGATAGATTTTATGCCTTTTAATCTATTACCGTCACCTGAAGAATTTTTCGGCTCCCTGAAAATTGGAATATAATTCAGTCTCTGGTCATGAATTGTAATTGTTTCAACAAGAAAATTCTGCCACTTAATACTAATTTCCTATAAAGATTATCTGTTCATATTTTCAGCATTACTTTTTCCTGTGAATTACATGCTTTATGGTACAAGTATTTTAACATTTAACACAAGTATTAACTGTATTTTTCTTTCTCTCGTATTTCAATTTAATCTTGTATTCGACCATTCAACATTTACTCTTTTTGAAGATGGTCCATGATTTATTTTAAAATAGCCCTACCATAATAAGTATCGATATTTTCCCCTCAGTATGGCATGTATTTCTGCCAGTGTTCAGCTCAAATAAAGCGTAAGCAGTTTTAAAGTCGGTCATAGCATTCGCTCGATAAGGGAGCAAGGCAAACCGTCTCGTTGTGCTCTGCCATTCACGACGGAATGTTGACAAAGGTAACGATAATGTCCGTGTCACCATCATTGTGTCGCCGACCATAGATAATACGTTAGTGTCGCGTTTTCAGCCGCGTTAACTGAACGTAAACTTCCCTTAAAGGCCGTTCTTATCCCATGAGAACCTCCCTTGCATAGACCAAACACACAAGAAAATTAACGGTCTAAACGTATAAGTTTTTCTTTTCTCCAGGCGACAGTAAGAAAAATTAAAATAGTAACGCTCAAGCCAGGCATAACTAGTTTCTTCTGTATCAATATAACATGTATAACCTCCAAAAATAGACAGAAAATTCATTGTGTCGATTTGTGAGAGTTTATTATTATCATCGGAGACTGTTGGAACAATATGTTTATTAGAAAATTTTTTCCCATTGAATTACGAGCAAACGGCCTATCAAATTTAAACATCCATTCTTTAACTATTCTAGATGACCCGGTAGCGGTATTGAAATCTGCATAGAATGGAAATCTGAATGGTAGCGGTATCGAAATCTGCAATCATTTTGATTGTCTCCGCAATGTTATTAGCATGACTGAGCAAATACTTTTCTCATGACCTCGCTTAAGTATTTCTGTAGTTTGTCAAAGAGAGAGTTGCACGATTGAGCAAAGCCGGGCGCATCGAAAGAAGAGTCCATCCTAAAGGCTTAGATTGGATTCAGTTCTATCGGCACGGTGCGCTGCAATGGCGTGTTAAACGGACCGTAGAGCACACGACTTATAACGAATAAAATCAGGGGAAAATGCTTTGATTTATCGATGATGATCCAAACTTGTGGAATTGCAAAGACTTCGGACCATCATTTCTTTCAAGACTTTGCAGATTGAGAAAAATATTGGGAGATGGACCGTGAAAGACTAATGCTGTTGCAGACAAAACGCGAGAAACACTTTCGCTAGATTTTACATCATAGTTATTGATGGTAGATATTTCACCGCATTTCATTGTGATTTCATAAATGCTAGGGTTTATGATGTTCCAATATTCTATAATATCTCCGTGCTCAAGCTTATGCTGTATTTGGAATTTCGAATTTTTTAGACCAGTTTTGTTAATAAATTACACGTGCAATAGTTTTAGGGTAAAATCAATCTCAAACCAATCAGAAACTAATTCAAGACAGAAATCAAATTGCAGCAGATTTCTTGTTGATTATTAAAAAATTTGAATGCTCTATTCAATTCTACTATGAACTGAATCATTATGTGAGGTTCTTTATCCGATGTTCATACTTCCCTAAACATTTTGCCTTGGATCAAAAACGTGCAAATAAGTTAAACATTTTTCGTCCCAGCGATAACTTGGCCAGTAAGTTTAGATGTTGCGTCCCTGAGATAACTTGGTCTCTAAACTTGAAGGGAGTTTTACCGCGACTTTTGTACTGGCAGGTCATTCTCTGACAGCAGGTAGAACACGTTCCAAGTTTGAGTGGTTTCAATCATACATAGGTAATATTGAGGATAGTTATGACAAACGTGTAATATATCTTATATTCAACTAGGAGAGTTATTTAATAAGGATAATGATGTGGACTTAATGAGCTAGATACAATATTACACCTTGATATACACACTCCACCTTACTGTCAATGGTCCTGTAATAGTAACATACTATGAAATCCATTCTTTAAATTTATTTCTCTATTCACATAGAAGAAATCAACACAACAACCAATCATTTATTAAAAATTATTATTAGATTATTATTTGCCTTTTACGCATTTTGGTGAAAAACGAGCTTCCGGCGAGACAAAGGTAGTGAAATGTTTAAAATGTTTCTTCACATGCAGGCCAGCGCGCTGTTCAGTCATCCATCTTAAAACACAATAAACCGTAACGAGTGACTTAATTGCATCCAAATTGCATATCCCCGCATGGTCGTACAGAGTTTTATTGGAAGTCCGCGTCCGTCTTGCTCTAAATACATAGATGAACCAACTTCTTTACCTCATGTTTATGTCGTGTCAAAAATAACCCAGCACAATCTGAACTCATGCGAAAAGCCTCCAACCCAAATTAGGTTAGGATGCAATTTAATCCTATAAAACGGCAAGAAGTTCTTGGAGTTGCTGGAGGAACCTAATGCAAATGTCTAATGAAACAGCGCTAACATTTGTGGAAGATACAGGAATGGCAGAACCAGGATGCAAGTTGCCTTTCTCTGCCGGCCGCGAGAGGTAATTTTCACTGGGAATTTTAACTTCCTAACCATATACTTTGGACTGGAGTCATTTTCTGCTCGATTGCTGCCTGATGTGGGTTACGTTTCAGTGCACATTTCGAACTTTTTTGAGGGCCTGCTGAGACAACCAGGACAGTTACTTTCCTTCACTAAGCTCGTAACTCCTATTTGATTTTTGTGGCTTTTATCATTTTATGGTATTTCTTTCACGAAATTTTTTCTCTATTAACGGTTAAAATGGTTTAAAAACTACCAATAAAAAACCTCAACCTATTTCATTACTCAACCCGGAATTTTTTATTACATGGAAATAAAAAAAACGTAGTAGTATGATCTATTTGTCATCTGAGAAATTTCCCCTCGGCTGAACCTGGTCTGCTTATAGCACAGCCTGGAATGCGTATTTGAAACTTCTTATGAATAATTAGTCTTTCAAAGATGCACATTTACCTGTTGTCTAGCGTTTATTTTCTCAAGTACCGGAAAATTGGTCTTAGGAGGTTCGGTTTACGCATAGTTGAACCAATAGGAATAATGAACTAATTATTCACTTCAGAGCCACCGGTCTAATGTTCAGGTGATGGTTTTGGAATTAAATTATTTGACACAAAGTAAACAGTAAATTTATTTAGAAAGAATATGAACGCGCCATAATTTACTGTTTTGTCCTCAACACCGAATGAAAGATGAATTTAATGGAATTTTTTGTGTGATCATTTCCAGTTTCATGTGCCTAAGCTAACAAATAATTACCAATACCTAAATTTTTCGTTATTTTGCCCATTATTTCCAACCTTGTAAGTTATTTTTCAATTTTACCATAGAATTTAATTTTATATTTCCAAAAGCACCTTGATTTACGATCTTGAGCTGTTTGCCGCTTGTATTTAAATGAATGATATCTTTAATTGTAAGATATTTGCTATTTTGCGAGTCACTCAATTAGCCAATTCCCAGCAAGGCCTTTGATATATACTTCCAAGTATGCTCTTGTTTAATGAAATAAAACGGAACCCTTCGATTCAACTATGCTCGGTTCAGTCGGAAGTCAACGCAAAATTTTTGCAAAATTTAGAAGTCGTAATTAATTTGATTCTGAAGTAAATCGTTTCAGAAGTCACGATTCTTTCAAATAAATTAACCTGACTTCCTGTGTATCGCTGCGCGCTAATATCGTCGACATGGAATTAAAACAAATTACCTCTTGGAATTCTTTACTATGTATGAGTTGAAAGCTGATAAAGTAAATGCACTAATAGCATTAAAAGAAGATGAAGCATTTTGAACTTGAAACAAAAAATTTTTCGCAAGAAAATAATTATTCACCTGTATACTCATCATGCAAGTGAATTTCGTTTTAGACCTTGAATCGTATACTTTTTTTCAAGAATTTTCATTTACCCAACTTGGCAATTTCATTCTAGTAATTCAGATCACGGATAATTTTTTTATTTTTTAGTTATAGACCTAAGGATCAGTTTTCTATTAATCTAACGGTCATAGAAGAAAATTTTTCGATTGAAAATTACTATGCTTCTCAGCCTTCATAATACGAACGCCTCGACACATGTAGGGCGGACTTTTGGATTTAGTTTTAATAGTTTTTATGCAGAACAAATAATAGATCACCCTATTCGGGGAATTTTATCCGTCAGGGGGTGAAGACTAAGTAGCGCTAATAAATATTGCTACCCTGATTATCTGATGAATATTATAAACGATTCACGCTGGGACAGGTTTCTTTGATAATTGAGGAGAATAAATATACATCGCTTTCTTTACCAGACTTGTTACTTAGATCTGTTACCAGATCACTGAGTGTTATGTACAAGTATCAGAAATATCAATAGTACAGAATGATCGGGTATATCACCAACAACAGTCAATCGCTCGTAACCTTTCACCAGTTAATACTATACCTCTATAAACATGCCTGTTACCTACTAGTTCTCCCTCACTGAAGCTCCCGATGTTTTTACTGGCATGGTGTTTTTAACAAGCCAAACGAGAGCTGTTGCTCTCACGACACCTAAACTGAAAGTCTAGACGTCAGGATGATACTCCAGAAATGCAAACCACGGCGTCTAGAATGCGGATGAATGTAATCTTGGCGGCTTAGTTGATCACTCACGGACACATCACCAGTTTGATTCTCTCTGACCCAGAAGTAATCAAACTGTTGATTCTCGAGACTTTGAATGACTCAGTCATCGACCAAACTGAAAATTTGTATATGAATATTATACATACTGTCGTCTATCGGAGGCCTATTTTATTTCTATGAGCAAGCCAGCAAAATTCTTGAGGTCAAGGGTCGAGCCCAGTGAGGGGAATTAAAGCAGCCATGTTTGTCATGATTCGAAATGACACATTTCAATGTATGAACTTAACAATTCATTTCAATTCAAAATCGGATAACTGAAAAGCTGATTAATTTTTTTAATATCCTTAATTACCATGTTATCCATGTTGACGAGTCGAGAAGGAAACGAAAAAACTCGGAATGATTAGAACGTGAAAAAAAACTTCGTTCATCAGCGAACGTGATGTTTCTTCTCAATTCTTACGCGAAGACTATTGGAATCAATTGCAAAATATACAGCACAGTAACTATTTCATATCATCTGTGTATATTCACTAACTACTTGCATAAAATTAGTCTTAAGATACGAGATAGGTACAAGTAATGGAACTGTTTTACAGGTAAGCTACAAAAAATAAACATTTCATTCAGCCATGCATATTCAGATACAAAACTTAGTGCCTCAACGATAAATTATTCTTTATACGCAATTACCAATGTCATCCATGTAATTATAACATTTAATTAATGCTGTTATTTATATGAAAAAACGCACACCACTTTATGTTTATAGAGGAATTAAGACGCAAAATAAGGTACATAATACCGAATACTAGGGATTGAGTATATAACATTACTGCAAAGTTAGGGAATATTCACGTACAACCTCCTCATTTTAGATCGTAACCAGGAAATGATAAATCGGTAATTAATCGCTCGCGCAGTTTCATCGATAATAAAACTGTAAAACGTAGTATCAAATTCAAGTAAATGGTAATCTGTAACGAACGCTACTTATTGATTTTTCGAGTAGCTCGCCAACTTCGATGCGGAATTGTTCGATATTATGCAGTCAGCTGCAGTCTCCACAGGCTCATAAGTACGGTTCGGTCCAGTACCGAGACGGGTTCTGAGGCGTGGGACTGGGAGCTTCTTCGAGAGTAGCAAGTGTCGTGAAGGCCGCTCGTAACTTATCCCGATGTTTGATGTCGCGAGGCTTCAACATAGACCTGTAGGACAAAGTTATGATCAGACAACTGAGCTATATGTTCAATCAATAATTTTATCGTTTGATGATAAACTTGCGTAGCATTGTTTAACACGAGTAAAATTGAAAATTCGTCCTTATTTTCTCTAGTCAAGGAGTGTTATTGAATTAATGCACGAGGAACGCTGATAATTGGCTCTCTTACTGACAATTGCTACTGGCCCTGGAGACAAACTACGAGTCACTGACCCGATAATTCTAATAGTAATGTGGAACTGGTCGGATAGAAGTTTCATATTTTCCGTTTCTTACTGTTTGCTGCTATTATCGCTTACAAGAAAGAAAATTGAAAAGCATGACCAAACTATAACATAATGTGCTCATGACGATTATGCTGTAAAAATAAACTTGCCTATGATTAGAAAACATCCGTGATGGTGTAAGGATTGACTTCTGACTGAGTCCTGTCGCTTCCAGGAACTTTTCGTACGTGTGGCAGTTGATGCCGCCGCCGGCAGCGACGTTCGGAGCCCCCACGCACGACGCACACAACTCCGCCGTCGCCGACGTGACTTGCGCAGGAGGAGAGTCGCTCTACAATTAAGAAAAGTTTCACAACACATGTTAAGTTGTACAGGTTAATAAACTAGTTAGGTTGTCTGTCCAAGATGCAGGTACATAAATTTCTTTCTACTAAGTAAAACAGCGTTAAAATTTATTAGGTACGAATATCGTCCATGTTCTGCCAATTTCTGTGATTCATAAAAGCCAACACCCTTCTAGGTAATTTTATTGGTAGTATTTTGGGATGAATTTTTGTGACAGTTTGAAATTATCGGTTCAAATATGAATTCCATCAGTTTTCTGTACTATCTTCTTCGAGTTTACAAAGCAAGCTTATGAAATATTGTTTGCAATGCTTCTCTATTCCAGAGCACGGTTAATACTGGATCTCTTGTGTACAGGAAAATAATTTTCGCTTCTATAAAAACATTGCTCACTCCATCTGTTTTATTTAAATCAAGTTAAACCGATGTTCAATTTAATTACTATAATACAGCAGATATTAATATACCTGCATCTCTGCTCCATCGCCACATCTTCGTAACTCATAAGTGGGCAGAAGATTTTCTTTGCCTTTCCTGTTGTTTGCTTCGTTTCTGAAATGCGTGGCTCTGGCGCTCTCCTGGTCCTCGTCCAGCACCAGGGAGTCCAGTGTGAACTCTTCGAAGTTGTCCGCCATGTGATCGGGCGGGCGTCGGTCCGGGATCATCTGGCCAAAGGTGAGACGACTTCGCGACTGGTTGTCGGTGACGCCTTGCGAAGAGCATGACTGTTGGATGGAGCACGCAAATTAGTTTGATTTTCATAATTGATCTGAGAACAATCAATTTGAAATTGAACACAACTAGCCATTACATTAAATCTAGTTCAATTTATTTGAGATAATTTTTCTCTACCAATCAAATATTTTTAGAAATCAATCAACAGTTCAGTTAAAAGCCTGGAAAAAATCAAGAAGGAGAATCGGAATTATTGTTATTGCATGAAAGTGAAGGTTTAGGCCGAACCGTCTTTTTATAAATATCCTTGTGTCTATTTCTGAAAAATTTGACGCTTGCATGTATTGCCTGAAAATAGAGCTCTCTAATGCAGTAAGATCATAACAAACAAGTTAGTAGGAAAATTTCTGTGTTAGGGTCATTGTTCTTTGTTACTTATCGATGCGAAATTTAATTTTTTGTAATTACAAGTGGCTAGTTAAGATATCAAGCGTATAGCCAGTCTCGCTTAACCTCCTCTTCCATGCGAATGCAAGTAAAACAATTCTCTCTTCATTTATTATGCCGCTATTTTGACTTATTTATTATTGCCTCTTCGAATCTAGTTGTATAGTATAGTATCTTCGGCATTGAAGAATAGGCCTGGATAGGACTGTCGCCGATTCTTGTACTTTTCTTGACCAGACTGGCCCTTTGATCAAAACTTTTCAACGGACGGCTGATTTTAAATTGGCTTCTAGATTTCAGTTGTTCCGTAGGATACGAAGCATTTTAAGACTAAACATATGCTCCGGCATGGACTTGTCTAGTCTCTTGACTCTCTTCTTGAACGCGTTCATACTCGCAGCGTCAACAATATCTTCAGAGAGGCTGTTCCACATGTCGGTGACTCGCAGCGAGAAGAAATGTTGTCGCGTGGATAAGTTGCACCGCAGTTTAGTTTGTAGCTGTGGCCCCTGATGTTGGTTCTTGTTTCAAATTCTAGCAATCCTTCGGAGACCTTGTATAAACCATGAGTATACTTGTATACTTCAATGAGGTCATCACGCAGGCGACGATAACGGTGACTGGGAAGCTTCATAATCTTCAATCTTTCTTCATAAGACTTGCCCTTTAAGCCTGGAATTATCCTTGTTGCACGTCTCTGAACACTCTCAACTAAATTTTTGTCCTTTTCAAGTCTCGGTGACCACACAACGTTTCCAAACTCCAGGTTCGGGCGCACGACAGAGGTGAACAACAGCATCATTTCTAATTCTAGGTACTCGTAGGAGCATCTGGTCAGCCCAAGCAGTTTATTGGATTTATTAACTTGCGTTTCAATATGCCTAGAAAATTTTAGCTCCTTGTCGACCCAACCCCCAAGATCTTTTTCCACGCAAGACTTCTCAATCTCAACCCTCTCGTTGCAACCGTGTCTTCTCATGCTGTAAGCTTGCTGTTCATTGCTCTTGCCGAGGTGAAATACTTCACACTTGTCAGCTTTGAAACGCAGCTGCCACGCATTACCCCAGTCAACTAAACTATCAAGATTATTTTGCAGTTTCATTTTATTTGACGCATCCTTAACTGTATTATAAACTATTGTGTCATCGGCACACGCTTGGAGCACACGCTTAACACTACTTCTGGTAGATCGTTTATAGAAGCGACAAACAAAACAGGCCGAAGAACGCGCACAGTTACCCAGTCTGAAACGGTTCCGTTAATGCTGACACGTTGTCTTCTGCCTACTATGAAATTCCTGATCCATTGGAGTACATTTCCCTCTATTCCCAAAGAATTCACTTTACGTAACAGTCGCTCATGCGGAACACTCTCAAATGCCTTGGCAAAATCGAGGTACAGTGCATTCACTGGCTCCCTTTCGTCCAGCAGGCGAGTCCAATTATTCAATGTAGACAGGAGATTAGTGTTGCATAATCTGCCAGCAATAAAGCCATGCTGACAGTCTGATAGAAAATGGTTAACAGTCAAGTGATCGATAATCCTATCATCCCTCATAACCGATTCCATCACCTTACACAACACTTGTGAGACTTACAGGACGGTAGTTACCGGGGTTACTTCTGTCACTTGGGCTTCTTTCCAGTCGGCCGGCAAAGTCCCTTCGATCAAGGTTTTTCGAAAGAATACTGTTAAAGGGCCGGCCAGGACGGTTGCTAATTCGTTTAGTAATCTATTGTGGAAACCGTCTGAGATTCAGGGAGACCAAGCGCTTGAGAACCTCCTCCTCATGTATCTCAAAACTAGTTAACTTCGAGCCCACTGCTCGCTCCTCAATAGCTGTAATACTGATCAAGTCCTCATCTGTGAAGACGCTGCTAAAGAACTAATTTACAACATTGGCCTTGCCCTCCTCAGAAGATATCTTCCGTTGATTTACATTCAAAGTTGTGTAGAAGAAAACTTGGAATTTCCCACAGTAGCAAGAACATGTTAAATTTTCCCCTTTTTTCTTATTTTCGGGTTTGCCAAAATACTAGAAGATGAAAAAAAATTTATTTACCTGCACAACTTCCTGCAGCTTAGAAGGAGTGCTTGGCACGGACACAGGCCTGAGGACCGGAGAGTCCAGGTTAGTTTCCAAAATGTCGTCGAGGCTCTTGGATCTGGTGACGCCCCTGCTTGGTATGGGCATCTGAAGACGCCCACCAGAAGCTAGCTCTGAGGTGTCGAAGTTCACGTTGCTGTAGATAGGCAAGTCCTCGCTCTCCGTTACCTGATGGCAGTAATTAATTTAATTAATATTTTTGATAAAACCTTGTATTTTCAAGGTAGAACTACTCGTCGTCAATATTCTCCATATCTGTAATTGCCGTTAGTAGACGAGGTTTTGGGTAAACAAATTAGGATAACTTGGGTAAATAGCATTTTTATCTGACGAATGAAAACACGTCTAACAATCATTATAACGCCGGCAATCATAGAGGTTAAATACAGCAAACTGCGCGGCAATTCTCATCAGTACGGTCACATTCACCATCAGCAACAGTAAGGCAGCGAGTTTGGACTTTGAAGAACATCCTCGACTATGAAGACGACTACCACTATTCCGTAGTACGGTCATCATAAATTCTACGGTTAGATTGGCCGTTAGACATCATTATAGCGCGGGAAATAAGGCTATGAAGAAAGAGCAACTGTGAAAAGTGACGAGCGGTTACAGCTGCGGTACGGCCACTAGGAATACGGCCGCAAACGCGCGCGCGAGATACGGACGTTACGGGGGTCGTACCACTCTACGGCTGAACGTTTTCTGGTAAAGGTAAAAGATTTTAGTGTTGTTAAATGATAAGTTTTCAATTTTGATTGTGTTCAGAATTCCTTTTTCATGTACTAGAGCAGTGGTTCCCAAACTTTTTCAGGCTGGCGCCCCCTTTGGCCCCCTAGTGAATTTCTAGCGCCCCCCACAGACATACGCCACTTTCTTGAAATTTAGTACGTTGAAATTTTAAAAGATAAAAGTTAAACACAAATGTGTATTTCACAAATAGAACCCCATTTAGTGAACCAATATGTTTTTCAGCTGTTTTAACTGTTTCCGCACTAGAAACCTAGGACGTCTCGGGCGAATTTACGGCCGGACTCATGGCCGGTCTCACGACCAATCTCCAAATTCAATTATCAAGAAATTTCTCTCAAACAAATGAACGCAGCTCTACTAAACTTGGAACACGCATTCATCAGAACCTAACGGTGATGTTTAGCTCGTAAATTTTTTTAAATTTCACCTTCATTCGTGAGTTGCGCGTATATTGCGAAACAGGCCAAAATTCGCATTGATCAAAGAAGTTCTTCCAAACTATTGAACAGATTTGAACGAAATTTTTAATATACATTCCTAACTACCAAGCGGTGATTTTTTTTAGCTTATAATTTTTTTTCGATTTTACCTTCGTTTGCGAGTTTTTTTCACTTCACCGTCATTCTTGATTTCACACTTCCCTATATTCGGCCCGTATCGCCGGGTAATTTGTCGCTTAAATTCGCGGCGATCAAGAAATTTCTTCTAAAATACAGAACAGATTTCAACGAAACTTTGTATAAAAACACATAACCTCTCAACAGTGATGTTTAGCTCGTGACAATTTTTCCATTTTGCTTTCGTTTGCGAGTTATACAGATATAGTAGGAACGACCAGCTTTTCTACCGGTCGATCGATGGCTTCTATAAATCAGAATCAGTATACGTATAGCCGTATAACTCGCAAACGAAGGCAAAAAGAAAAAATGTAGACATCACCGTTGCTGAGGTTTAGGTATTTAAATACTGAGTTTCGTTCAAATCTGTTCAGTGGTTTGGAAGAAATTTCTTGATTACTGCGAATTTAAGCATGAATTGCTGTTTAAATCACGAGTGAAGGAGAAATGAAAAAAAAAACTCGCGAACGAAGGAACAATCGAAAAATTTTTAGTTAGGACTGTAAATTCAAAATTTCGTTCGAATCTGTTCAGTAGTTTGGAAGAAATTATTTGATCACTGTGGATTTTGGCCCGTATTGGCATATAACTATGGCAAAAACGAACGATGGCAAAATTCAAATAATTTTCACGAGCGAAACATTACCGTTAGGACCTAATGAATACTTAATGTACCAAGTTTCATCGAGTTAAAGTTCATTAGTTTGAGTGATATTCCTTGATCATTGAATTTGAAAATTGGCCGTGAGACCGGCCTCGAGTCCGGCCGTTAATTTGTCCGAGACGTAAACCCAGGAGAGCTAGGTTAAAAAAAAACAGAAAAAACCATCGCTGGGAGTCATGTGCTGCACGTGTTGTGTACAAATCGTCTAACAAACGTTCGAACTTCTGACATTGACTTCGGACAGCCGCCCTCCATATCGCTCCCCTACCGCCCTCTTCTTCCTTATCGCCCCCCAAAATCTTTCCACCGCCCCTAGGGAGGCGATATCGCCCACTTTGAGAACCACTGTACTAGAGATTTTGGTCAACGTATGATGTGAACTTCAATTTCCCAATTTAATATGAAATGTATTAAGTGTTTCATTGCTACCCTCTCTCTGTACCATTTTTTGCCGTAACCTATTTCATTTTTGGACTTACAACGTGCCATTTCTAACCACTGCGGTCGCAACCAGACCGAAATTAAAGCGATTGCCGATATAATAACAGTATAATAATAATAAATCTCATATCTAGCGAGCTTTTTTTAAAACTCTTATTTAATTAATCGCACACTCCCAAAACAATTAACGCTAAACTAGTAATTCCAGCAAGTTCACCCGAGAACAATTGGTCTCGATTGACTAATATTTTATTCACTCATGCCTCCAGCAAGCCTAACCTCCCAAACGCTGGTGTTTGTGTTGTCCAGCATTGTGGGCTGCAGGACCACGTAGTTATCCTCCTCCTCGACATAGCCTTCTTCGTCACCCTCGTCGCGGCCGTCCTCTCTGGACTCGCTCCTGAGGTTATGCGAGGACGACGACGTCGACACAGAGTCGGAGGCCAGGCGAATGTTCTCGTAGTCGTGGTCGCTGATGGCGTCGCTGTTGTAGCCACTAGTGACCTGCCAAAACAAATTAACTCGCTTAAACACTTGCCCCTTCAACTTGATGTTTTTTGTCGATATTCTTAATAAGCCTGTTGTTTCTATTTTTTCGACAGTTTTTAAGAGTTACTTTTTCAGCTGAAAAAATAATTGAATAAATTCAATGTATTCAACTTCTTCACATTTTTTCGCTAACTTTAGATTTGGATAGTTATTTAACGTAGTTTATTGGAAAGCGCGTGAAAATCATGTTGCTGTATTGTGTCCAACCACGTAACGAAAATTAATTAGTTATAAGATTCTCAACAATGATGTTCTTGTAATAACACTTGAGAGATGGCGATAGTGGATTATGACCAAAACAACGGGATATTGAATGAAGATGCTACGTCAAAATAAAATTACTAATCAATGCATTGAATTTGATTTATATGTATGACATCATAAACACTAATCTTCGATCCTACAATTGCGGCGGATTTTCAAATGGGCCCAATCAACGATCAGTCAAGCAATAAATGTCTTTACCTCGTATTCGTCCATGAGTAGACTCTTAATGACACGTTCCTGGCTGCGTATGAATTCAGGTGACGCAGAGTTCGCAGCAGAAGAAGAAGTGTCTGTATTAGGCCGCTTGGAGGCTACGATTCCTTCGTACTGACGCGCCAGTCTGATGACCCGTGGAGTTTGAGGTTTGAGGGTTGCTTCGGGCGAAGAAGGTTCACTTGAACTGCCACCTCCAGCACCATCAGACTCCTCCTCCAGAAGTCTGCTGATGGTGGAAACAATAGTGCACTGCCTGGGTCCTCGTACAACTTGAGATGCAGTCGTGAGAGGGAGCTGAGGAGGCCTGTTTTGGGTAGGTGCTCGGCTTGCATTCGTAGGAATGCAGCCTGCCGAGCAAACTTTTGGCTTCTCGGCGATCGGGGGTTTGTGAAGCACGCGGTCGGTCATCGCACGAACCGACGCAACGTTTGGGTTCACGGCTTCAACGGATTTACTGTTCCGAAGTTGGCCTTCCCAGGCTGGTTTACTGTTGTGATTGAATTTCTTTGGGCTCGTCATGTATTTTTGTTCTTTCGCCCGCAAACTTATGTTATTGCTGCCAACAGTGCATCCAATTTCTCGCGGCACACTAGATACACTAGGGGAGAGTCTGCTTGGTAGATCTATCATGGAAGTTGACACGCCGCTGGACCTGGGCAAAAGTGTCCCATATATGGAAGCATCGCTGAACTCGGATGAACTGCAGGCACTCGTCGTGAAATACTGACCCCCTCCCGAAGAGGTCTCTTGGCCTTCACTGAGTTTCTTTAGTCGATTCATGAGACGCCGATTATCTTTGCGCAATTTAGTTATTTCATGCTGTTGGCTCGCTATCGTGGCATCTCTTTGGTCCAATTTACTGAGGATTTCTTTCTGTTCTTTCCGCAGTTGTGATTCCAAGTAGAAAAGTTGGGTTTTGATTATATTTAGCTGCGCGTCTTTTTGGAGCCGTAGTCTTGACAGCATACGTTTGCTATCGCGAACCTGTATATATAAAACATGTATTCATTACTAGTGCAAATTCCATTTTTCTCATTCAATACTCGAGTTAGGCACGCTAGCTTTGAAGTCGGCGCCAAGCAATGTGCCCCAAAAATCTTCAAGACTGCAAATCTACAGTATGCCACTGAGGACGGTGCGGCTACCCTCGATTTCTTATCCTATACACTCAGCACTTTATTTCCACCAAACTTAATTTAAAATAATATTCATTTTCCAATGAATGTCCTGCAGATTTCTTACACCAAGTCATTAAGGCATAAGGATACGCTAGCTACCTGGTAATATATATAGTATAGGATTTATAGATTTAGCCAGTATTAAAAGTACCAGCATGTGGACAGCGAGAGAAAAAATAATATAAATCAACTGTAATCTGCATAATTCCATTTCCCGGAAAATGTCTATTACTAAGATTTTTATATTTTGAGCTTAAATTTGTGTCGTATTCAAAAGCTTACTTTAGACTGGTACTTGGCGAGCAGTTCAACGACCCTGCCGGGATTGCTCTGTACGGCCTCAACAGAAGGGAGACCAACGGTCAGCGCCCTGTCATCAGACATGCTCGGGGCCGACACGTTCCGACGGAGCACCGAAATTGCTGCTACACCCACGGGTTCTGTGAGGGAACGTCGGTCCGTGGGTGGCTTATTTGTGATTTTATGCACAGGTTGTCGTCGGTAGACATTTTGATCGTCGAAGTGAAGTTCATCGTTGGAGTCGAGCGAGCTGCGTAGGCTGCCTCCCTCCCAATTTTTCGTATTCTCGGCAGTCATCTGGAAGAAAAGACGAATGAATTCCCTGATAATGTTAGCAATATATCGGACGCTTTTGTGAAAATTTATCGCTGAAAGTGAATACTGTTAGCATATTAATCAAATGTTTATCCGTTTGTTGCTACACAATTTTGAAACCAAACTAATCCTACATTTACATTGTTTATTTAATGGTTATGAAATCGAAATACACAATAAATTCCCATTTGCATTTAAGTACAAAACATGCATTCGCCAGAAATTATCAACAACAAGATATTCTTAACATCTTTTGCGAAACTATTTCAAATAAAATATGCACGTAGAGAGATAGCAGCCAATAAAACTGTCAAACAACGAGGCAGCGCAAGCCTAATGGCCACTTAAAGAATCGTTCAGAAGATATAGAACTGACAAACAAGGATGTGTTCGAGATAAGCATGGAAACTGCAGTCAACCTTCAGTGCAAGAATATTGCTCTCAGAGTCAGAGATGTATACATCACACACTGCAAGCAAATTCAATAAATTTTTTACACAATTTCAATGGACAATTTCGAAAAAGCGTTACAGGTTGTACGTATAGAAAATGTTTGTAATGTGAAACATAGAAGAAAGAAAAGAATAAAAGTTACTTAAATAAATATTATATCAGCGCCCAAGTATGTCATTGAGTGAGACATGTACCTACGTTTACAGTAATCTATAAATTTGCGCTGAAATAAAATTTAACACCATTTATGGAAAAATGAATTTCCACAATGCCAAGAAAGTAAAAATTGTTAATAGGAGTACCACAAGAATTATTAAGGGTAAAAGCGAACATTTGTACAAGGCTAAATTGCAAAGAAATGCAATAGCAAAGTTCGCTAATCAAGATGAAACATAACGTGGACAGGAATAGGAGTCAGTGATTCAGACTCGTCATCCCATGTTAACTTTAGCACTAATCCTAACACCTCATACCAGAGTCCAGAAGTCGTCTCTTGAAAAATGAAAATAGCGGAAAATAAATTATCATGAAAAATCGCTTAAGTTGCGAAACCGTTTGCGGTGCAGTCTGAAGAACGATGTAACTTGTGCATCTACGACAAATGATCACAATAGTTACAAACGAACAAGAATTTTCGTTATTTTTCAACTAGCAATGAATAACGGATTTTTAGGCGATAATCAGGTAACTAATTTTCAAAGTGTTTTACCTTAGTTTTATTATTTAGAAAATACGAAGTCTTGGCAACTTTAAGAGAGAAAAAGATAGTATCGATTGACCTTCCGGGAAATTTGATCAGATAATTACGGGATCAAACGCAGTGTCTCAGAGGCTTGCTGCACGTGGGGATTAGACACCGTTAATAATGGAGCGCTTTTCTTGTTTGCGCTAGAGAAGTACTTCATAATTGCGCGTACGAACACTTCATAATAATCAAGTGTTTCATATTTATAAAGTGTTAATAAAACATGAAACATTGTTAATGAAGTATTAAATAAACATTTTTATAAATTGCGCGCGAGAAACGTTTCATAATAATGAGGTTTTCATCCAAACACATGTTGAACGTACAAAAAAATAATGAGGATTCAATAAAAATTCATAAAGAAAGCAATGGTGATGGACATTTTTATGAGCTGGAAAAAGACAAACTTAGCTACGACAGGAAATACTCAAATGACAACATAATTATTCAAAATACAATCAATGATAGCAGTGATCTAACTAATAATATATCACGACATCAATTACAGGTAAAATCCGATTAGGATTAGGTACATGAGGACATATTTAGAAATTGCACCATAGCAACGAATTCAGGGGTAACAAAGGACGCAGAGATCGGTATTCAGCACACGGAAATCAGAAGGCAAATGGGACGGACGGCCAAATTGATAAACGGGCGAACGGTGAAGTCAAGCACTTTGTTGAAACATTTATCGATCGGTGCTTCCAGTTAGTAGAAACACACGTGTTGACTGATTAAATTGGCAAAATTACTCTTCATTCTAGTTTATTTATTTAGGATGAAAAATACTGAATTTAAAAAATGCAGAAAATACTGACTATACCCATTAGTCGGCACTTAATGCACTAACATTACGTTGAAAGTGACAAACGATTGCGGCATAAGGTAGAAAATAAAGCATTTGGTACATTGCGGTGTACAAAAATTCGTTTTTTACACTGCTGTTCTTGTCAGAGCATCTTACTTCCAGTCAAGCCAAGAGAGATTGTTCAGAAAATTATCATTTTCCGCTACGCCGCCAAACATTACCGATCGCTGTTCGAGCAATGGTTGAAATAAAAAATAAATAAGGGTCATAGATAGTACACGATGTCGAATATTCGAATCCAGTTCCACAATTGCATACTACATTTTTTAGAAACGCAACATGCAAAATATCTTCCAATATATTAATTAACTGGATGCTTGAATAAAATTGCATACAAGGAAACTTTATTGCTTTAGAAGATCGTTGCGACAAATTTGGTGTTCGTTGATTTACATGCATAAAAATAAAAATTGCATGTACATAATTGGGTTTATACTGAATTATTATGCGCGCAACAAAGTTAACGCTTATAGATGGATAAAAAATCGATCAAATCTACCAGGACCAACGGTAACACGTATATGAACCATAACTATAACGGGTGCAAAGAAATTTAGAATATTTAATAAAAGTTGAGGACACACATTTGTGTTTTTCGTCAAGTGCCGTAAACGAACTACAGTACCACACCTCATGGTACGAGTGAAAAAGAACTCGGCCATACAACGCAACTGCAAGTGCAGCAAATGCAAGATAAATCAGCAACAGAACCAACTCACAAACTTTGAACTTTTAGAAAATTGCACTAGTGAGATAATACTATTTTTCCCGGTACATAAACATAAATAACAGTCTACTCGAAAATTCTGGATACAAGCTTATCCGGATTTAAACTAGCCGACAAGCGAGTGTAAATGACGATTAGCGCGTAGTTACTAAAACCTGCTGTACCGATAAGTGCGTACCTGAATTATAAAATATTATTCAAAAGATATAAATGTCGCAATAAATAAGCAAGAACTTTCATTCAATAGATATTAAGCTAAATTTTTTCAGAGACTAATATTATACATCAGCTAAATAATTGAATATTTACCTACCTCCACCGCAGTAACTAAACAATGAAAATAAATTACAATATTGATAACTGAGCGTAATCAATTATTTGATCGATATAGCAAAAATTAAACCATGACGTAAGAAAATAACTTCCATTTCCCAAGAATATTCACAACAAACACAAGGAGGTAATAATACTTAAACAATTAATATACGCGGTGCATATATACGCCCCGTGTACAAGTGCTACAGACTCACGATCAACCGAATTCAGTTGGGTTATAATTAAATATATCGGTGCAGCTATGCAGTCGCACCACTCGCTATTAGCAGCTGCTGCCAATATACAAGTCTCCGACAACGGTATGAATGCTGGCGGTCAAGTCCTAGGCCAACGGACAAGAAGAAAAAAAAATGAGAAGACTTACTGAACAGGTTTTGTATTGAATTAACGAAAAATTGTGTAGGGGACACACTGCAGGTCTCCACTCCTTTAAATCAGCCGTTCGTTGCTCTTTAAACTACCATCCACATGCTTCGCGCAATGCAGTCAGGGCAAAATAATTCGTCGTCAATGGACATGAGAACACAATTGTGGCTTGCTTGTTTCAGAATTGTTAGTAAAATCAATAATTTTGTTTCCACATTAGTATATGATTGTTAATTACATTTATAATTTTAGTAAAACTTGTAAAAAGTATATATTTAGCATAAAAAATTAGTAAAATTATATTTATAATATACCAGTAGTAAAAGTCCACTATTAAATTTCACACGAGGCTTAATTGGCATTAACACTAATAGAGTGATGTCATGTATAAGATTAAATTGCATTCGATTTAATATGCCAATCGATAAAAATCGTACCAAGTACTGACTGTGTTAAAATTTAGTTTAATTCATATCGTTGCAAGACCCACAACTGAATTACAATTCAATTAAATTTTTATCTTATAGCACCATAAATGCATGTAACATTAATGCCAGACGTTGTTGCCTCAGGTTGTTTTGATCTTTATCGACAACAATTTTGCAATATTTTGGCAGTCATAAATAGGGTCTGAAAGCATTTCGTGATCAAGTAGAGCTCAGCAGCCTTCACTCGGATTTAAATTTCACTGTACATGAACATTACTGGAATATGCATCACAGAAGGAGGTCACTAAGCCTTCAGAAAAATCGTGCTCACAAGTTTCTAGAACGCGTATTAACCTTATGACCTGAACTATTATAAATGCTTTAAAAGCAAGTTCGTTACGGATTAGTTTTTAACATTCAATTTATCCAGCGACGGTAAAGAAGAATCATCGCATGCTGCAGCCGGAGCTGCGAACGGTTGCTGGGCCGAGCAGAGCGCATAGCGAGGACGATCGAGTGAACGACCTTGCCTGAGGCGCAGCCAGCGGGACTGCGTTTGTCAGGAGCGCTCGTCATGTGGTGGCCACAGCGGACGACAAGAAATACCAGACAAAAAAGCTGGGCCACGCACGACACCGAAAAACAGAAACGCCCAGGGTCAGAGAAAAACAAGAACGTCTCTCGCTTTCTCTCTGACTAGGGTTTAATATTTTATACGTTTCATCATGTGTTACATAAGCACACGACACTAGCAGGTTAACTCGGCGTAAGAGTGGATCGACTGATAATCCCTGCAATTATATAACCCTTTTTTATCGAATCAAATTAATAAGAATATGTTAAGGAATGTTAATGTTAAGTTTGAAAAAAGAAATCGATCAAGCCCAAATTTTCCATAGAACGGAACTCCAATTTGGCTCCCGTTCAGAAATATTAAAATTTTGTACCTATCTTGAATTAAATAAATCTATTATAATTTTAAATCGAACTTCTTATTTTATCTAATCCTTCCCTCTCAGTTTTTCAGTGCTATAGGTACTATTGCACGACTGAGAATAACTATCGGGCCAAAGTAATATCTCGACACTACAGGTATTGTGGAAAAGCACTCGATCAAATATTTACATATAAGACTGGTTGACTGGAGGCGATTAAAGGTTCTCCTCGCGACATAAGCGGAAATCAATCAACCCTTCCAATATTTAATGATGCACAAATTTGGACAGTGTCAATTCTTTTTTTTTCAACGATGCATGCGTTTCGCACAGATAAATCAATTTTTTATGATTTCAAGAAATTTCGTAACTCGTTCAAATTTATGATGATGTGTTTATTCTTGTGGATTATAAAATACACCCGTGTTTCCAAATCCTCTAAATTCCCCAGACACGTCTGCTGTCTGATGCTGGTAGCAAACCATTCTAAGAACTCGGCTAGACGTTCCACTTCAATGCTCTTGACGAAAAAAAACATAGGCAGAGAATTGGTAATGTCTGATAAAGAATAATTCTATCATGCGATTAATATTATTCGGATAAACTAGTGTGAACAGGCGAGAATAATTCAACTTCCTCAATCGTTACTCAAAAAATAATGAGGATAGTTATTATATGCAATTATTCATATCACGTGATTATTCACCACTTTAATTAAGGTCAACGCATTAAATCGTAAATTAATAAGAAATTTTAGAAGAATATAGAAAAGACATAAATTTCACCATGCCACCATTAAAAAGTTCCGCAGAGAAGCTGTTTTCAGTCGTTAAATTCCAATTAGCAATACTAAAGAAAAGAATATTAACTAAAATTGTTGTGAAAAAACGTGGAAAGAGACAAGCCTAAAAGTAAACCAAGTGAAATGGTTAGAAGTCTTTTCCACAATATCGGAAAATACATACGTATGTATATACACAAAAACAACAACTCTTAACGAGCCTAAAAATTGGTATAAAAATCGCGGAAACAGAAAGGTCTGAAAGGAAACTAAGTGGAATGGTTATAAGTTTTTTACACAATATCTGGGAATACATTCATAAAAACAACTCTTAACGACCCTAAGTGAATAGTGGCGGAGGATTCAAGAAAACCGATGCTACATTAATACCTACATGAAGCTCTAACGCCGTTTTGCCGAGCTGCAATGATTATCAGCTAGTTACATGTTGATTTAAATTTTAATTAATGCTAAATTTGGCTTTCTCTTCTATAAACTCTAATTGTTTCTAAATTTCACACTGTTCAAGAAAAACAAAATTCGGACTAAACTCAAATAATTTACCACCTCGATCGCACCAGAGATGTATTATTCTCTATCGTATAGAAAACAGAACTTTCATGATTTCTTCTTATTGTTATTTTGGAGCCCACTTTTTATACGACATCAAGCAAAGGCAAGGAACTCCTTAACTGCAAATATGTGATGAGAAAGCAAGTTTGGACCAGCAAGTTCAGAATAATATATTAGACTTCTCGCATATTATCAGTGAGACCGATCACAGTTCTAGGAAATACACTGCAACATTCATCTAAATAACCAAGGCTATTCTCTGTTCAATAGTATAAGATCACTTTTTGCTCATGCTTTGAGAGTCTGCACAAAGACCAGGTCGCTTTGGTCTTTGTTCAAAATATTGAGAGGAGACAATAAACCCTTGCAGTATCTACAAATAAGTCATTGAACTCTCGACATAATGGAACCTGAAATTGCATGCAACATAACCAACAAAAAATTTCTGCAAGTAATGCTCAAATGTCAAAAACTACATGATAAAAATTAGCGCGATCGTGTTTCATGCCAGTTAGCTTCAACTAATTAATAAATCCATAAATAATAATGAAAATCATCGATGGAGGAGAAGAAGAGAGAGGACCGAGACTGGCACCGAGATACGAGACGATGCGTACACGCTGTGAGGGCGCGGCTACACTAAGAGGTCGCGAGATCAAGTTACGTGCCAGGACAATGCGCCCATGCAACCAATTAAAGGGTCAAGAAAATCTCAGTGGTTCTTCTTTTCTTCATTAAAAATATGCACTGTACCTTCTATGAGTATCTAAATTAAATGATCTCTAAATGGAAGGGAAGTAGAGTATATTGTTGTGAAATTTGGAGAGAAGAATGATGCTGGAAACGTGTGTAATTAGTTGGTACAAAAATGACCCCAAAACAGGACGAATACGTAAATGTCACCGAGAGAACGGCACTATAGTTCACACTGAATCGTCCAAGTATCTCTTTGCGGATAGATCATTTGAAAAAGTATCAAGTTAATTCAAATCCAGACATAAAGCATTTTGTTGTTTTGAATAGAGCAACTACAACAAATAAGCTTATGTTAACAACCTTTCAGGAACGCAAACGAATAAGCGTGTGAAGACGTAGACGAACGTTACACAATGAGAATAAAGAGCTTCATAGTCTACGAAAGCTTTAGGGGAGTTATAAAATTTCGACCAAGTGCTTCGAATAACAGTTTAACCTCAAAATTTCTATTCTTCAAGAGCTGCATGTGTAGTTCAGTGCAGATTGACAGTGAACGCTGCGACAAGAAAACCATTTAACCATTTTAGAGCTTCTACACACAATAAAATACTCAGAGCATCTCACATTCAACAATAGCGCTCGCAATTGACAAGCGCAATTTAGGTACGTAACGGGCTCCACGGACGTTAAACATCTACCAACATGGAAAGATCAAGACTGTGATGAAATTATTCGAATATTAGAAGAAGGTCAATGCACTAAATTGATTCAATAGCGTAAGTAAATAAATTTATTGATATAGATAAAAGATAAATCTGTACATTCTCACACTACGCTTCTATGTACATCCTTTTTAGCGCGAAATTATTCATTTCCGCGAGCAGATAAAAAATAGTACGTTTCACAGTTATGTATAAAATCTAGATTAGAACATGGGTGTGGATTAACTCTGATCAATCTCAAATGCAATAAACTAATTTTTGTATATCATGCATATGTTATAAGATTGATTAAGTATTCAGATCAAGAATGTCATCGCAAGTAATTAGTTAAAATGGTCACGTATTCTTTGATCTCGCTGCTGCCGGTTGCAGTCAAGGTAACATACTCGTATTTAGGGCCGGTGCAGCCTTGACTCTTCACGGAGCAAAACCGTTCACAATGGGCAATAAAACTGCTGTTATCACTGTCCTCTAAAGGAAACGAACCATGGAGATGGAACATTTCTACAACTATTGCCGCCAATACACTCCATTTAGAATAATAGATATTGCACACTTATCTGATTCGACTTTGCAGTCATTTTTTTTAAATGAAATGTCACGTGGATTAATAGCGGCGTTTTCAAAAAATCTAAGTACACATTCAAAATGCCGCCTAAGAACCGATCTCCGTCTACGCCATGAAAAATAAAATATACAGGATTTTTAATTAATACATATATTTTTTGCATTTTCATCCTTCAAATCGTTCTAATAGATAATGTAAGTGATGTCAAACACGTGCATCATGAATGAAAATTTCACATCATACAAATAAAAAAAAAAGAAATATATAGAAAAAGTAAATAAGGAATAGAGAAAAATATCGAGATGCTGAATTACCAATCAATTACAACACGTCCACTTGACACGGCGATCGCGCGCGCTATAGAGAAGGCGCGACCTCGCTGCGTGTATACACCAAAAGTCAGCTGAGTTCAACTCGAGGGAGAAGAGGTCGGGATGAGATAAGCAACAGATGTTGATGTTCTAGTATTATGTGTATTCCTGTGTGAATAAAGAATAAAGCAACGTCTCGTGACCGCCTCCAATACGGGTCTTATAAGCTGCTCGCTAAACCAAAGAGCTTGCAATAGTTAATTTATGCATGGCAGTCGGGGAGCAACTGAGGCACGCGTGCTGGGTCATGAGATTAACTAAACCAAGGCTGAGAAACAAGATAAACTGGTATGACAGGAAGTGAAATATTTTAAAACGGAGCTAGAATTAAATTTTTGAGTAATAATAAAAGCTGGATCATAATAAAACAAGAACGTGCGAGATAGCTTGAAATTCTATTCGCCGGATTAGCTCGAAATTTCTTATTCGAGCTTCAAACAATAACAAAGCTGGAAGATGAGCACGGAGATGTATAAAAACGTTATTTTTAGACAATTGTTTACTGCACGCATGACTTGCACAAGGAATTTAAAGACAAGGGCAGTTTCCGTGAATGAAAAAAAAACAATCGTCGGACTGAAATAAAAAAAATGTTAAAAAGTTGAAATCTGTTTGTGAATATAACGAACAAAAAATCGATGCCATTATTCCTACTCACGGTAAAAATGTTCTATACATAACATACAAGTCGGTTTAATGGAACAACACTGCACCTCCGAAAAAGACGACAGATTATTAAAGTGCGATATCAAAATATCTGCAGTGTGAGAGTTGTCTGTATGGGAATAACACCAATCTCAAATTATTATAACTAATAAAAAAACACTAACTTTCAAAATGTATTACTCGAATGTGCATTCCATCGAGTAATATGAAGTGAGGTGAAGATAAAATTATATCTCTTACAAACATGAAATACGTGTACGACATATAAATTTAAACATTATTGGAGGGATTAAGCGTCAAAATATGTATTTATTTTACCTTAATGGTGCGTATGAATCATAGAAATCCACGTTATCATCTGTAAGGGAAGAAAGGCGGAGTGAATTCTTCATTGATGTGAAAAAGTGAATAAATCGAACAACGCTAAAAATTGGCATTTTTATCAACAAACGAAAGCTTTTATTTAATATAATTTCTTCGAAGTAACAATCAATGCTCCAGTGCTTCTTTCAAGAACCTAATGAGTTTCATAAGAGTTTGAGCTTCGTTCTACAAACATACGTAGCGAGCAATTAAAAATGATCAGGTCAAAAACAAAAGTAACGTCAGTGAAAGCCGTTGAAAGTCAGCGAGTACCTACAACAGCACCAAAAATGGAACTGGTCTAGCATACGCAGGTTATGGAGTGGCAGTTAACGAAGTTCATTTCACCCTAGTTTGCATTTGACTAGGAGCACTTTGACGATTAGGCACTAAAAAAGTAAAAGAAAAACGCATGAGAAAAAAACTAGGAGGCTTGTAGGCCTCCTACTTCGCGCACTATCAAAGGAAATCTCACTTTCTCTTTCAACTGCACATGAACAAATGGCTATGCTCGTAAGAACGCATCACGGCTAAACAGAAAGTAAATGAACTCAACCATACATTACTTAAATCGGGTCCTATAATTTTACTTACAAACTAAGATACATTCTCACCAGCAGTCCCAGCCACGTTGATCGGTCATTTCCTTACATTAAAAAAGATGAAAAAGCGCGTCAAGATCATCATTACTAATATGACACGTGTTCCGGTACACACAGTTAACTAATTCCGACTTGGATTGAAGGTTTTACATTTACATGCATTTGGAAGTCCTCTATTATGAGTTTTACTCTACAAGAGAACACCGGTATTCTACCATCTGGCAATGGTTACAATAATTCATACTTATATTGATGCTTACAAAAAAACTCCTGAAATTAACGATAATCGCTTTAAAAACCTGTCGCATATTATCAAGAAGTCATCATACAGTTGTTTTAAAGTCATATCATTCTTGTTATTGTGTCCCGTATTCATCAGACGGGAATTCTTACGTAAACTTAATAGAACTTCTTTCAAGATAGGCATTAATATTCCGAATCGGAACCCAAATGAAGCAACACAAACGTATGTAAAACGAGACTTGGTTACCATTACTCCAACATTAGACGTGATCATCGGTACCGCTTGCTCCCAATACAAGACTTCACGTTAATGGGACTTTCATCTATTCTCTTTCTCTTGAATTCAACGCAAGTCAAGACACGTCCAATTTTAGACGATGGCCTTTTATCATAAAATTATTATGCAGTAAATTAATAATACTCACGAATGTAGCAAATTTATAAAGGAATTATGCTTGGGAGAATTTTGAAATAAAAAAACAATGAAAAACGTTATAGAACCAATTAAGATTGAGCAAACGTGCTAACGAGTCTACCAGAAAATTCAAGATGCTGTGTAATTGCCACATAATTTCTTTAGCCCTTACATTCTGAGTTACAAATTTAGTACTAGGCAAGTAAATGCTTACACAGGGGCCTAAACACTACACTAAGTCGGACTTAGAACAAATGTATTCTTTTACCGTATTATGGCGGTAGTAGAATAATACTTTCAGTGCCAGAACATGGCAAGGTAAATTACTGAGAGTAACTAAGAGACGCCTCTCTAAAGTGAATATGATTCCAATTTAGATGAGCTCGAGGCTAGAAGGGAAGCTGTTTTACCAGCGCGGCTTCAGTATAGGCAAAGAGAAGGGTTCAAAATGCGCATCGGGATGGGCTCTGGCAGCTCATGAAAAATGGGTACCTACTGTTTTTCTGCTTAGAAAAATAGAAGTACTAGCTACATAGAAGTGAAATGAATCTATAATGAAGCAATGCAGTGTAATTTAGAAGGCAAATCTCGTGTAAATAAATTAAGGAACATTAAACATGTAAGAAATTTTTTCATAATTTAATTGCGGTTTACGTAGCTACACGATTTTGATGGCGTAAAACATAACTAAAAGGAGGCCATCCAGCAAATGCTCAGACTGGAAGGCTTTCGTAACTAAATTCTAGTTTTTATGTGCTTTCAAAAATCATTAACTAAAAATTTTACAAAATTACAGTTTTAGTCAATATTTGAACTAAACTATTTTTGCCGAACTGTACGAACAAGTGGAACATTTGTAGCAACAATGCAAGGAGCGAAAGTTACACAATAGATCAGATTATTTATAAGTGGGCGTCAGTGGACAGCGACAGTGAGCGCTACAGAGAAGTCGCAAAACACGTAGCGTCCAACTGTCCCTGACAATTTGGGGGGCAAAAAGCTAGTGCAACGAAAAGATTATCAACGTAAATGTGAGCGCCATGAGTCATGCTTTATTAGATTTATATATTTTCTCTACCTAGAGTATATTGAGAACTCTCACAAATATTGATGAATAATTAACTTACAGCATGGAAAATAAATGGTTTACGATCGTTATGTTCCAATAAGATAGAACATTTGCATGCCTTTTTTAAAGTTTATTAAAATTGTACCAAGTTAATGGAATCCTTGCGAAAAGCAAGAAATATCAAGACAATTAGCTCAATAATAGACTGAAGCTAAAGATCCAATTCAACGAAATAAATTATCACTTCATTTTAGAAATGATGAGTGGAACACGCCAAAGGGCGGAAAATGTACTTTATGAAACAGGTACCGCATGCATGGAACAGGTACACATAAACCAACTCACAACTGTTGTCACGCTACTACAATGACAAAGAAAACGTCACATAAATGAGCGACGAAACAACGGATCTAATTTGAATGCGGATGTTTGGCAGACTTCCGGAATTAGAAGGCATTTTTCCATCAGCTCGACTTTTTCCTCATCCGTGTAACTCCTAGACACTAAAACAATTTGGACTGACTAAAATGAACTATTAAATGAGTGGTAAAGAGTCATTATGTGAATTAATGCCCGTGAATTATGCGCAGCATGAATTTTACTCAATGGTACACAATCTTTAATAGGCGAAAATTTGCTCGTTTACCGGTTCTAGGTGGGAAAATGGTGTGCTTATTTGAGGCGCATACACAAAGCATAAGCAGAGTATTTGGGAAACAAGTGCGAGCGTGAGGAACAATTGTCACCTGATATCTGACGTTAAGTAAACGTTGAATTAAATGTTGTTTCATTTAACGAACGTTGATTTTATAAACGTTGCTTCAATGTCATTTACCAGGTGCAATTTTTTCCAGAAATTTCCCATGAAGTACGGAAAGGATAATTACTAAAAAAAATTACCAGAAGTAGAACCATTAGGGACTAAATGCATTCGCTTGATCATAGACATACATAAAATCAATCTCCGATATTGCAATGGTGTCATGACTGAGCCTGGCAATTTGTTCAGTTCCAAAATATCGAGAGTTATAAAAATAATCTTATTCCATATTTCCCGACTCAATATAAGTGTATATGTTCATACATTTCTTCTTTTGAATCCCGCCTTGAATGCACCGACTAATAAATCCCCTTTCCCAGGAGCAACACGAACGGAGAAAGTTGCACACAAGCATGTGCGTGTTGATCACGCTGGAATATATCAGAGAGACTGAGGGAATAATCTCCCGGAGCAGAAAGTGGAACAGTTAGCAAGACTAGTCGAGACACAGGCGGCAAATTGGTTGTTCCCACATGCAAGCTGGGACACTCACAACACTGACCGAACTTATGACGCGAAAGCCCACAATTATGGACAATTGTGGGTTGGTTATATTAACTCGATCGATCAGAGTTGTCTTCGTTTTAAATATGAACAGCATGATAGGCTGATTTACTTATCTACGAGTTTTTATAGCGGTTTTTATAGTGGCCATTTGCTTAAATTCGGAATTTTTTGTATGAATCGAAGTTTAGGAGTTAAATTAGTAGCTCAGACAAATGAAAATGTGAGAGAGATGGTATGATAGTCACTAATTTCCTATCTCATAACTTTAACTAATACAAAACAGTATGCATTCATTAATAAAACTAGACCGAATTTCAACTACATATATACGTGTTCAATTTACTCTCTCTAGGTACGGTACTGTACTTAATTCGCCGACCTGCTTCTCAAAGAGATCTGAGGAAGCAAGACATCCGAGTTCCCAGGAAACTCATCGGGATTTGCGAATTTTTATTGATCGCGTGAACCGTTCCGCATGATCCCACGAGGCTCGAAAATTAAAACGAGTTCTGGGCTCTGGCCGTTAGTTTTCATGTGTGGCCGCGAGCAATTAAAGATATTCGCAGGCTTCCGCTTCCGTTTCATATTCCCACGCCACTCGATGACACATGACCAAGGTAGAAAATGTCTGGAGCATTTCCGCGGCTTTTTTCAAGAGTACAGATTAGCAAGTTATTTTGATGGCAATTGGCACCGAATGTCAAGCAAGGACATATATAAATTTGACACGTATTATTTAGCTTGTGGACAGATTTTTAGTTCGTTTGCATATAATTCAACTAATTTATGGTAGAAAAAATAATTCACTTAAGAACGCTTTTCCCATTGGAAATTTCATTTATGAATACCGTATAAAATGCTAAGTTTTTCACTATACTTTAACAGGTGAACGAAAATTGGACATTCGCACTCATTGAGTGAATGCGGTGCGGCTGAGCAGGCATCATGGAATAATAAATGGCACCAGATATGAGCATTAAACAGTAAACACATGTAATTTTATTTTAAGTTGTTTGTGGAAACAACTCAATCTTAAGATCACTCCAAGCAAGTTGATAGAGGAGACTATTCAAAGTATTGAAATTAATGAACATAAACTAGCATATTGGAAAATAATGAGAACACAATTGAACACCCCCCCCCCCTCACCCAATACCAGTTCTATTATGGGATACCTACTGGCAAAACGAGTGACACAATCAATCATAATAGGTCAATGGAAGTCCAGCTCGACCTCAAACCGTTACCGGAAAGATGAATCCCAAAGCGAGAAGTCTCACGTGGCGAAAAAATTATAGAGCATCAAGTGAATTCCGGTGGAGCATAGCAGGTGACCGCA